CACACAGAGGGTAAGAGGAGGGCAGCGAAAACGACGGTGTGATACATGTTTTTGCCTAAAGTGGTATGGCCTCTGTGAGAAGCATCGAGCGCATGCTCAAGCCGGGCGGATGGAGGGAAATGAGGCTGTGCTCGTCTGCGCGTTGTGTCAACCAACAAGTTGTGCCCATAAAGCGAGCAATATAACGAGGCCTGACTACCAAGGCGCATGCAAGTAAACATGTTCGAAGTAGACTCGGCAAATTAGGAAAGGACAAGTTGTCTGGGCGTCTCGAGTGCTTTCATCTGGCCGTGGGCGCACAAACCGGTCGGGCAGACTGCAGACTCACCATTTCACCATCACACATTTCACATTTACGCCTAATCCCAAACTGTTCTTCCATTCAAGTGTATCCTTGTGTGTGTGTGTGTGTGTGTATGGAAAGAGACGATATAGATAGTGTGTATGCAGACGTGGAAAAAGGCAAGTTGGACCGTAATCCGTGACCCGTGAACACTTGAGATGAGGTCTACGCCGGTCGCACGGGTCACTTCACTTTGCAGGCGTACAAAAAATGGCTTGACACTCTGAACCAAACTGATGTCGTCCTGACTGCATTCTCGGTTGGGAAAGCGTGTGTCTGTGTATGTATGTGTGTGTAAGTGTGTGTGTGTGAAAGAGAGAGAGAGAGAGAGAGAACATTCGTAGAGTCACATACTCGTGCAAGCATAATGGTGTGGTCGCGCAGATTGGGGCTCTTCGTAGACAAATTGGTAGTCAGGCCTGAGGTCAATTTGGGTAATTAGACGAGAAGGCTTCCGGTGAACCTTTTGTGCAATTTCGGAAGCACCAAATGCTCGGTCAAAAAGAGCTACCAGGCAGACGAAGAAGTAGTAGTAGTAGTAGTAGGAATAGTAGAAGTAGTAGTAGGAATAGTAATAGTAATAGTAGTAGTAGCAGTAGTATTTGGAGGAGGAGAAGGATAAGAATGTGTTGTGGGTTTGAAGGCGAGTTGACATGTTCTGTAAACATGAGGTCTGCTC